CTGAGGCAGCCCCGGGCCTTGCTGGGGTCAGTCTGCCATGTTGTGTCCCGCACAGGCACCAGAGCAGAGGCAAGGAGCTGCCCGGGCGTGGGGCCCTCCTTCCCCCCTTCGCTCAGGGGTGACCTGCGAGGCCTCCATCCAAAATACATCCCTTTTCATTGACGTTCGACCAGATAACTAAAGGTGCCAACAAATCTCAACTTTGGAGGCTTTTTGTGAATCTGGTGATAAATGGGTGGAGTTGTAGTTGAGGTTAGAATTAATTGCTATAGAGACTTATGAAATATATAGTGATTATGCTCTAATTTATTAGCTCATCTGTCTTCCTGGGCAGCTGTTGGCATTTCGTTAGCAAATGTCTCCACACCACAGTGGGGGTTCTGAAGAAAACTGGAACTGAGCACTGGTGGCTGGAGCGGCACTTCAGGGATCCCTTTGTCAAGGCATCAAAGCAGCAGCATTACCGTTGCCGAAGTGCCTTCAAATTACTGGAGATCGATGACAAGCTTCATATTCTTCGTCCAGGACTTTCTGTTCTTGACTGTGGTGCAGCGCCTGGTGCTTGGAGCCAGGTTGCTGTAGAGAGGGTCAATGCCTTAGGTACCGGTAAGTGCATGTTTTTGACAGGCAAGATGGGGACGGTATCTTGAAGCACGTGAGAAAACTCGGTGGTGGTGTGGGGAAGGGACGTGGGTACTGGCAAATGCCAGAGTCAATGATAGAAGCGTGAAGGCGTGTGCCTATGTGACGGTGAAAATCTTCTTATGGTCTGGAGAAATCATATTTGTAAGATAAAAACTTACCATGAAGTTCATAACAAAGTGTTCTGATTATCTGTGTTGTGGGGAGGAGCCCTTCATCCAGTTCTGAAATTTTTGTAGCCTCCAGCAGGTAACTTGGCTTTTCTGTATTTTTATTTCCCTTCTTGAAAAATGGTAGTAACTGCTACGTACAGCTTATGTTTTTTAAGCCATTAATATTTACAAGATAAGGTGTTATCATCTGTACTATTGTCCAGGATTTCTGGACTGTCAGCCTTGAAAGAACAGGAGCAAACCAAGAAAAATACCCTTTGCTTATCCAAAGTAACTGAGTTTTTGTGTCTTGAATGGACTAGCTTATAGCAAACCGTCCATCCAGATGCACGCAGCAAACTGTCTAAGGACAAGATGACCAGACATGGCAGGTGCTATGTTTTTTGTTTATTGACTGGCACGGAGCTGATGCATATGCAGATTGTTTGCAGCCATTATGAGTGTTCAGTGTGTTGTTCATTCTTGTAACCTAGATCCTGCTGTCCCCACCGGCTTCGTCCTTGGGGTTGACCTCCTGCGGATTTCTCCTCTGGAAGGAGCGGTCTTCCTGTCGGAGGCTGACATTGCAGACCCAAGCACGCTGAGGACGATTCAGAGTCTGCTTCCTGCGGAGAAGGTGGATGTTATCTTGAGCGACATGGCACCTAATGCAACAGGTATTAAAGAACTGGATCATCAGAAGTTGATCAATCTATGTTTAGGTCTTCTGAATCTGTCCCAAAGTATTTTAAAGCCAAAAGGAACGATGCTGTGTAAATTCTGGGATGGACAGGAGTCCCATCTTCTGCAAAACAGACTGAAGGAGCAGTTCCGTGACGTGAGAACTATAAAGCCTCAGGCCAGCCGGAAGGACTCTGCTGAATTGTATTATTTGGCAAGACTGTACAAAGGGAAATGAAAGCTGAGAACTGCAGATTATCAAACAAGTGATCAGACATTGATTGGAAATCTGATTTTGGTGTGTGTTTAAAAAAAATCCCACCATTGACACCCTGGGAAAATCTGCCACAATTCTTATGAAGCTCATCATGCTTTTCAAATACAAAAATAAACCAGGGTGGTGTCCTACTGAGTTTATCCAGTAATTGTACAAGTAGAGACATCCAATCTAGCTTCTCACCTGTGGAGAAAGCGGTTGGGAATGGAGAGGAATAATTTGAAAGGCAACCTCTGAGGCTGGAGTAATGGAAATGAAAATAAAACAGTGATTATATGAGTTTTTTAATGTGTGCTTGAAAATCGTTGCACTACTAATGTCATATATGAGACTAACCGTAAAGGCGGCTGTCAGAATGAGAGGGGAGCTTGAGCCAATTTATTGCCTCTTCATCTTTCTTAAGAGCTGGTGCAATTTATTAGTGCATGTAAAAATAGATAACATTTTCGTGCCTGTCAGGATCTGCATCATCACGTACGATCTGTAGCGCAGCCACTCAGGATATATGACTCTGGCTCGGGAATATTTAGCCTGATGGCTCTGCTGCATTTTCTAAAGACATGGGTTATATTTAGAAATTGCTGCTTCATGGTACTTGTAAATCCAGTAAATGACAGTGGGGCAGGTTCATCGTTATGAGAAGATAATTTCCCCTGTGTTTTCAGTAACGTGTTATATTTGACTAATGATGTTTCTGAGGTGAAGTGTCAAGATGTTCCTTGGATCCCGGACAGGGAGAATTACCAATTGAGGTGCTGGAATTTTGTTTGTAAAAATAAATTTAGCCACTGCCTTATCTGGAAGTGACAATTTTACATTAAATAGCACTTTATCAGGCCGACTGTGGCATGAGCTATAAGAGGAGCTGGTAGCCCCGTCTGTCTTCAAGACTTCTGAATCTTTCTGATTATAAACATCGCGTTTGGGATTGCCAACACATTTATCAAACTTCACCTGCTTTGAAACCTCCTGAT